TGTAACCGAAGTCGCCTTGTTTTAGTTCAGTTGTGTTCGGTGGGGATGAGTTTCCCTGGAGTGTTTCAGTTTTGGTTTCTTTTTTTGTTCTTTTGCAAAGAAGCTCATTCAGATAATTTAAAAATCCAAACTCTTAAAGTTGTTTTTAGTTGATAGATTTGTTTTTTCTCAGTAATCTGTTGTTTTGATCCACATTTTTATTTTGTTTGAGAGCATTTTAATTTGAAACGGTCTAAGTCTGGTTGGAAATACTATTTAAATTAATTTGCCTCCTGAGTGTAAAAAAAAAAGCTTTCTGATCTGATTTCATTGTTATTCTTGTATAGAAAACGCATTCAATCAAGCAGACAGTGTGTAGATCTTTGCCTTGAGGCAGATGCAACATATTAATGGGTTCCTATTCTTTCCAATCGATGCTTTTTTCAAAATCTCGCATTTATATTAGTTAAAAGTCCTTTTTGGACTTAAAAAAGATTAAGGTTTATTCAACAATTTCCATTACAGTATATCCATACATCATTGAATTTCTCTCATTGAAATCAAGATCAGCAAGCTAATGGCTGTAATTGTACGAAAGGAACCGCTATTAAACACTTTGTTTCCTTACTTTAGTCATGTAAAGCCTCTTAACATAAAAAGTAAGAAATGTAAGAAATGTACAATTTATTATATATATTCTATGTGAATATATATTTTCTGTTTTGTTTGACTGTACCACTACTTCCTGCTGTTGAAATAAAGAGATGCAAGCGACTGACCTCTTCTCTGTGCTGTTTAAATCAAACCCTGAAATGTAAAAAGAATACTTCTTAATTTTGGCTCAATTAATATGCAGTCAAAATAATTTAAAAATGTGTGTATTATATATTTGTAGCTCTGTTTCCAAGGGAGAAAAAAAAGGCTCCACTTTTCTGATGATAGTGTTGTAGAATAACTACAAAATGGGAACTGGTCTTGTTGCATACTGTTGCATACACACATGCAAACAATCACTCCTCCATGTGTAAGGGTTAAGGTTTTTTGAAACATTAGGATACCCCTAATTTACATGCATGTCTATATATGTGGAGTGAGTACTCCAGTTGAATGGGGACGGCATCCCCCTTCTTAAAAAAAATCTTAAAAATAATCCCCCTTCTTAAATGACCATCCCCTGTGAAATTTTATTACTGAATGTGTAAAATTTCTACTATATATAAGCAATAATGGCAATAATATTGCCCTTTCAACATTTGGTGGGCTGTGGCCTTACTTGTAGTCTGAGTAAAATAAATCAAATCAAAGAAGTGGTTTACTATGACTATGAAGCTGATCTCAGTGGGAAATTTGTCCCTATGTAGGGCCATGCCAGTCCAGGCACTGACTGCAGTTCTACTGTAAGATGCCTTGGTCAAGGTCAATGACTGGCGTACCTGACATGTATCAACCACACCATGCATATTGCTTTATGTCAATAGTCTATATTAATTGGGTTATGCATGCCTCCCAAAAAATAAAAAAATCCAACCCCCCCCTTTTTTTTTTTTTTGGGGGCATGCATAGCCCAATTAATATAGACTATTGACATAAAGCAATATGCATGGTGTGGTTGATACTTGCAGGTACGCCAGTCATTGACCTTGACCAAGGCATCTTACAGTAGAACTGCAGTCAGTGCCTGGACTGGCATGGCCCTACATAGGGACAAATTTCCCACCGAGATCAGCTTCATAGTCATGATAAACCACTTCTTTGATTTATTTTACTCAGACTACAAGTAAGGCCACAGCCCACCAAATGTTGAAAGGGCAATATTATTGCCATTATTGCTTATATATAGT